TTGTTATCCAAATTCACAAGAATCTAGAAAGATCGGTGAGTTTTAAACGAAGACTTAATATTACGTCTAATAAAAAGTTCGTTACCAACCTCGATGTTTCAGATAACAATTTCTTCCTGGTTTAATTTAAGTGTCTTCCGCGTTCTTTGCGGGCTAAAGGATTTTTAGTCAGTTCGAAGTAAAATAGCAACCAGGATTCGTAGAGAGGCAATAAGCTTTTATTGACAGCGCACAACAACAAACCAGTCGCGAGTGCTCGGGCACGAATGCTGACGAAACATAGAGACACACGCAGTTAAAGGATCGCGGTGGTCAGCTTCGCTGACCGAGGAAACAATACACACACACACGCGTATTCCGTAGGAGGACAGCAATGCCCTCCAATACTCGTGACGACGCACAGTTTATGAAAACCCTTTTTGGAAAAGGAAGCTGGAGAGAACATTGTTGTGAACAAGATTGTCGTAGAGAAAGACCACCTATTTATGCATTCTTTCCTTCATTATTCCTTTATTCTATAAATTCTTGCTAATTAGCGAAATAAAAATTGTTGAAGTATGTAGTGTGATATAAAATTGTAACTGCTAACCTTTTTTCTAGAAAATTTAACATTGTTGGATGCTTGAAGGTCTGATCAACATTCATCTAAATTCAGCTTAGAATTAAGATATGGGTAGCTTTTTTGAAACATTTCTGCTACATGCGATCCTCATATTTTGTGAAAATGTTCAGTGTGCCCTGTAGCCACTTTTGACATTAATTATATTTTGGCTCATTGGATAAAATCAATTAATTGATCCAGCCTAACCTATACACTACCCAATCAGAAGCTAAACCTTTCCAACTTACCAAACTACTGTCCCCAGACCAGGTTTGACAGATGAGCACTTGTATGCAAAATAAATAGGAGGTGGTTTTCCCCACAATAATTCTTCGGTTATAAAACTTTAAATGATTGATTTTTGGGTGTGTGTGTTGTGATTGATCTAACTCATGAATTTCTTTGTGCAGTTTCAGGAGGTCGCAGCAGACTACACTTGCTGGATTTGAGTGGAGGAGCAGACAGACTGGGAAAAGTTGGTGTGACTCCTTCAGCAGTTGGCAATGTCTTGGTGTCAATATTCAATGGTAGAAAACATCTGCCTCAAAAGTGAGTTCATTTTTTCAGTAATTATTCCAAATTATGCCTCTTGCATGAGTGAAATTCAAGTGGGCACATGAGTCTTGAACTTTATAGGTCTTGAGATCTACTGGTTTGTGTTTGACTGGGGAAAAATAGTGAAAATAGTCCCTGGAAGCACTGAGACAGCTGAAATTTTTCTTCAAACCAATGGACTTGCTCTACAACAAACTTCAGGGGACTTGAAAAAATAATTGTAATGAAACTTCTATATCTGTAGTTTTTAGTATTTTTAGAGACCGGCATGATACGAAAACAATAAATATTGTTTTTTTTTAGAAGAGAAAATCGTTGTAGAGATTCCTTATGTGGAAATTGTAATGTCTTTTTTCTTACATTCACCCGCATTTACTCATGAACCTCTCTCACCTATTTTCTCAAAATTGATAGGAAAAATTTGTATGTGTGTCATAGGCAGGGATAACTTTTTACGAAGATTGTCAGAATTTTGTGAGCGCTTTATACATAAATATACTGTAATGGGAAATGTTTAACAGGAACTTACTAAAATCTAAACAAACCCAATTTAATTTAATTTTGGTTCAATTCATGTTCAAATTTAAATTACGGTGTTTCTTGTTTTCAAAATATTGTAGTCTCTCAGTCACTAAAAATGGAGTGCGCATTTTAGGTCGAGAAAAATCATAGGATATTATCCAAATTTCAGGGGTGAAAAAATTGGGTTGGGTGTCTCACTCCAGGGAACATATTACTCCAGTAAATACAGTAATTACTGGAAATAAAGTACAGTACTGTAATTGCATTTAACAAGTACCATGTGCACTTTTTTGCGAAATCAATGCAGAAAAGTGGGGTGTGTGTGTGTTATGGCGGTATATACATTTCTAAAACAATACAAAATTATGAAGTCAGTGATGCAAACCATGAGGGAATTATCTTTCCCACGAATCCTGTTAAAATGCTCTCTGTCATTGCAGTGTGTCTATTTGTTGAATTATTTTATTCAACATTCTCATTTGTAAATAATCAGTTTTCAACCATGAAAACCTGGAATGTGTGTCATATACATTGATACATATTTTGGGCAAATTGAAGTGGTTGCTTGCTCAAGGGCTTGTGTTACTGGAGTAAATACAGTACAGTATAGTGAAACCCCAATTTAGTGACATAATTTGTCCTGGCACATTTTCTGGCTCTACATTTGGGGCATTGTATCAGAGGAAATATTACTTGTGGGCTTCTACTACAGGTAAAATGGGATTGCTCACAGAATTGTAGGCCATTGAGTCTGTTTTATCAGAGATAAATCATCAGAATGTACAGCTTTTACTGCATTTCAATTAATTTAATGATTCAAAATACATTAGCTTTTTTGCGCAGAGTATTGGGTCAAGTAGAATAGTGGAACTCTTTTTTTGTGGCTTTAAATCGGCCTTAAAATGGAAGCAAGCTATTCTATGATCAGGGGAAGTGATTTTCAATTTTTTTTAAAGACTATCCAATTAATTATTGAGATACCCTTTGCTGTGGAGGACATCCAAATAATTAAACCCATTCACATTTAAATTCATAAATAAAATTTCTGAAATCATCCTGAACATAGGCATGTCATCTGCAGTAATATTAAAGGACTCTACAGTATAATGATTTCCTTTTGAACATGCCTTAATTCCTCTGATTTTGACCTATTTTTTCGTATAATACAGAACAGTAAATGAATTTGCTTTGGCACAAAGTGAGTTAATTGGCACTAATTTGGAGCTTTCCTTGAAAACACAGCAGAGTGATATTTGTTTCAGGGAAATTTGTGGCACTGTGCTGAGGTGGCACAAAATCAATGATTGACTCGTTATTATCTCTTTTGTGCGTCAGATGGGAGGGAGCAGTTTGAACAATTGGGAGGAATGTGGAGTGGCCCGAGTCGGAGCAGACGGGAGTTCGGCCTCGTCTGACCCAGACCCATCCAGCAGTGAGCAAAGCTGTGACACGGTCATCTACTTGGGTCCAGCCATGGACGATGCCACTGACGGCGAACACCCGCCTTCAGTCGCCATCCCGAATCTCAGTGACCCCAGCTACAAGTGCGCTTTGGACCGATTGGGGAACAATGTGGGACCCAGGTTCCTGTCCAGAGCTTGTTCCGAAGTCAGGTCAGTACTATGGAAACCAAGAATAACAACAACAAAAACAAAATCAAAAATTCCTTTATATTTCCACAACATTTTTGAAGGATAAACAATTATGCCCATCATTTCACATCATAAGAATGGATACATCCCCTTAATATATGATACTGTAGGTATTCTGACAAATTCATGGCACTTCAGTAAAAATGCATCCAATTTTCAAAAGTTTCTAAGTGGTGTAACTCCTGCAGCATGAATACATTAGTTTGTGTCTCACTAGAGCACCTTCTCTTCTCATGTCCAGCATTTCATACAGATAGAAATTAGCTTAAGAAAGACTTACAAGTATTGGAATTCAATGAAGAGACCCTTTCTGAAATCATAAAGGATCAAGATAAACTGTTGCCTTTATATGATTTCTCATCAAAGATTCTCTCTAATTTATTCCTTGTGAACGCTGAAAAGCGGCAAATAAAGTTTTCCGTTCATTCATTCATTCATTCAAAAAAAGAGATCAAAAAGCAAAGAAAACAAAAAGTCTTGCTAGAATATGTGCAGATGATGGGAAAAAACTCTGAAAAAAGAAACAGAAAATCAGCTTACTTTTGATTATGAATTAGAGTGAGTTTATCATGAAATATTTTTTTAATTTTCTGAATACAAATACTGTAGCTACATTTCTTGAAAAGATATCAAAATTCAACGAATAAAATGTTCCAATTTTTTGGGAAAATTTCAGAAAAGTGTCTCTAGCCTGAGCCAAGGTCTGGTTGTTGGCCCTGTTTTTTGGGGGGAGTTATCAAGTGTCCCTAAGTCAAACTGTCCTTATGTTGGGGCATATCTGGGTCTCACTGTATATTGAAAGACTTGGGTTTCTCACAATTTAATGTAAAGGTGCTTGCCCAAATAGTGGAGGGCCAGGATTAGGGTGTTACTGTCAATTGTTTCAAACGATTTTTTTCTGAAAGATTAATTCTTTTAATTGGTGTTTGAAATATATTTGGGAAAATACCAAACACCTTTTGTTTTATTTTTGTTCAGTGATTGCTGCCCTGTAAAGTGTTAATCATTCTTGAAAAATTGATAGTGATTTTCATGCATTCTTATGCAATGTGGTTTATTTCTTGGGGATAATGTTAATAACAGAGGTTTCTGCCCAGTACAGTACTTGCTCCAAAGTCTGGTCAGTGCTTGGAAACAAAAGAAGAACCAACAGCAAAAATCCTTGCTACAATTATGCCCAGACTTTTATGCCAAGTCTTCCAAAACATTATAGTTGAACTATACAAAGACTTGGGGGTTCTCACAATTTAGTAAAACAGTATTCTCCCAAATTGTAGAGAACTAGGATGAGGTGTTCCTTTCATATTTCTCATGAAAGATTCATTTCAAATTTTTTATTTGTTTTTTTTAAGTGTGAATTTGACTAAACACTATTTGTTTTCGTTTCTTATTATTAATTGCCCTGTCCTGCGTTACTTATTGTCATTCTTTGAAAGATGGTGATTTTTATGCATTCTTGTGTACTGTGATCAAGTTTCTATCAATATAATCTCATTACAACAAACTCCCAGGGACTGGGAAAAAAATTCATTGCAATGAAAATTTCGTTATATTGAGATTCATGGATCTATTCATAGAAATACACTTTATCATCTGTAAAAGCATTTTATTGCCTGAAGTACTGTAGCCATTTTTCTCTTTATGCAATATTTGTAAATATACCCCTAGTCTTTTATGAAATGGTCAAATTTGACAATGAATTTTATAAAAATGAAAAATAACTCTACACAGAAGAGCATTGGAATAAGAACAGCTTTTCACAGATTTTGGTGGGTAGCTTGGCACTGTGCTTCCAGACTCCTGAGATGTTTTATATTAGATGGGTCAGGATACATTTAGTTTATGGGCTTCCTGCCACTCTGCTAATGTAACCCATTTTTAACTTCCAGTATTTTCAAGTGTGTATTTCCCCTGCAGACACATATCCTGTCCACTATCTACAAATGATGAGCCTCAAGAAGTTATCATATAAAAATTGGGAACAAAAAATTCAGAAATTCAGGTGGAAAATCTGAAAATTGAAAAAAAAATTTAAAAATTAGGGACAAAAATTTGTTATAACCGGAGATTTTGTAGAAAATGAATTCGTTAAAACGAGATTAATTTAAGCTGTGCCTAAAGGAAAACTGCCGGGACTTTGAAAAAAATTCGTTGTAAGCAAAAATTCGTTATAACGAGATTCTACTGTAATATATTTTTGATATTTCTAAGTTCTAATGGATGTGTGGACAATTTTTTGCAACCCTCTGAATGATGACATATAGCAAATAAAACTTTTATGTCAAAGAATCATGGTGAAGCAAAAAAATAACACACGAGTTAAACGCATTCACATCCCTGGTCTTGACAACTTCGGTGAGTCCCCAGATAAGAATACGAGACTCACCGAACAAGAGCAAAATCTGCATTATGTACTGTATTATTCTTTTTATATTTTAGTGCTAGGAATTTTTTTTTTCTCCGCATCACGCCGACACGTGACTGAAATAAGAGCTTTCCAGCTATCTTCTTTTTTCAGGTAGAAATGTGTTACTACACATTTTCCGCAAGTTTCTTTACGAGTTTGTTGTATGCAGTACAGTACTGTGTAATCAGAGTCTACATGTTCATCTAAGTACCATAGCCGCGTTACAAGTGAAGTAGTACTCGTGAGATTCTTGTGTTTAGCTTGTTTTTTTTCTTGGCTAATGCGGGCAACGTAGCTCCTCCTATTTCATCATTTTTCATTCACAGATGAAATTAATATTCCAAAGAATCGTATTATAGCGAAATTTCAGTTCGAACAATTTTTCGGAGGTCTGTGTAGAAAATACCCTACGAGCAGAAAATTTTCCACTCAAAAGAAATTGCCTTATTTAACTGAATACTACCCGCAGGTTTTCCTAGTAACGAAAGCGGGAAAAAGGAGGATATTTGTCGTTGGGCGAGTTTTGAATTTTTAAAATTTGTAGAACTTCAGGTGCGCGTCATACAGTATTTGATTCTCATGATAAATTGTATACTGTACTAATGTCAACAGACACATTTTTAATGGAAACCGTTGAACACTATCTGAATTTAGGTTCAATTCATGTCCAAATTCAAATTCGGGTGAGTCTAATTTTTGAAGTACAGTACAGTATTGCAAGTTTTCAGTCACAAAAAATGGGGTGTTTTTCTTGATTGAGGATATGATTCCATCAAAAATTTTGCCCAAAAATCTCAGTGCGCATCTTACTTGAGGGCGTTTGGTACTTCAACAAAACTTGAATAAAGTTGATAAATAGATGCATTTTTCTTGAAAATCATGAGACTCTTCGCCGAAATAATGGAGTTGAGGGGCTTGAAAAAAATGAGCGTCAAATTTTGGAAAGTAACTGACAAATTTTCTAAAAGGCGTCTGGATATTCCAAATTTGTTTTCTCTTGCTCCCTGAAATTTCTCTGTAAAGAGATTCTTTTCTACATTCAATTTTTTTTTACTCAAGGGAGTGTGGTACAGTACAGTACTTTGCAGAACTGGAAGAGCCTAATATTTTAAAATAATTCTTCAAAAACTTTTGTATTGAAAGTAATGACGATTTTATATAAAAATAATTTTTATTAGCCTAATATTTTAAAATAATTACAGTATTTCTTCTCCCAAATAAATAATTTCAGTATAGCTATAATAAATAAAATAATAAAATAGGAATAAAAAGGAAAGAAATAAATAAATAAAATTTTCAACGAAATATAATTACAGTACATTTTTTATAGAAAAATACAAATGTTGAAGCGTTTTCTAAAATTATGAAAAGACTTTGTCTCATTAATTGCAATACGTTGAGTGCAAAAATCCATTTTTCTCGAAAATCACGATATTTCATGAGAAACGGAGTTTGGGTTGAGAAAAAGGCACCAAATCTCCGAGAGAAAGTGTCAAAATTGCCGAAGGGTGCCTCGATATATTGTTTCGTCTTGTTCCCTTAAATTTGTTCTAACGAAATTCTTACTGAACTCGATTTTTTTTTCACGAATACAGATCCCAGTGCACTGTCGAGAAAGCTGCTGCTGCTGCTGCTGCCAGCAGGAGATTCGGACTCGGGTCACGCGCCATGACCTGTGTGTCTCTTCCTGCAAGCCCACTTCGCGGCCCTCGACACCACCAACAACAGCAACAGCAACAACTACAACAACAACACCACCAGCAGCAGCAAAGTCCTACCCTGCAATACCTCATGCGGGTGTCCCGATCCCCGGCTGCTGCTGCTGTCCACCGTCTGCCAGCAGTGCCGCCACCTGCATCGGCATCAGCCGCCGTTCATCCTCCTCCGAGACACTACTTCCGGGCGCCTCTGCCGCCGCCACTGACGACGACGCAGCATCTGCGGAATAATCATCAGCCCACCACCATCAGCAGCAGCAGAGAGCAATGGATTGATGGTCCACGGTCCACGCATCAAGTAATACCCGTGCCAGCTGGGAATAAGTTGAACACGACCAAGGCCCAGGACAGTCGACAGCAGCAGCAGCGACACCTATCCTCATCGTCTTTTTCTTCCGCTCGCCCCGCAAACGCTGTTGCGCCGCCTGCGCAGCTGCAAGTGACACCTGCCCGTGGATCCTCGCAACACCAAGTTGCTCAGACCCCGCGTTTGTTCAGTTATGGGTACATGGACGCGCATAAGATTTCCATGATTGAGAGATGGGTGGAGGTGCAAACGGCGCATTTGGATGATGGTCGAGGAGGAGGAGGAGGAATGGATTCGAATCACAACTTGGGTGATCAACATCAACATCAGCAGTTGATTGTGACTGAGATGAGCAGTCGTGCTGGGCCAGCACTGATTTCTCCAAGTGATGGGACTGGTGGTCGAGGAGGTGTTGATGATGATGATGAGATACGCTTGGATATCGCACCACTTGCGACAAACGCAAGAGGTTTTGTGTCGATTTCGCAGGAAACATCTCATGAGCCTTGTTTCAAAGACTCCCGTATTTTGGGTGAGACATATTTTTTTTTTTAAGACCAAATTTTACTATCTTTGCTCTATTCTTGTTTATTGGCCGGTGCTCCCCAACCCTTTTTAGACCTGCGCGGACTGAAAAATTTCCATAAAATTATTTGAAGGCCATCAAAAAAAAATTTTAAAACACCTGCCACACGGTCCTACAAACAAAACTTATACTGCAAAATTAATTGCCATATTTAATTACGTGACTATCGCGTACATTCAAGTTAGATGCACACCAGAGTTTTTCTGTCAAAGTTTGTTTTAAGATTGTATTCCCCACTACGATACACACCCCATTTTTATAGTGACCCTAGAAAACAATATTTGTAAAAAATTTTAGCAGTAAAATCTGCATTGAGATACAAATTGATCCTGCATTATTCAAGTAATTTTCAATTATTTCCGCTGCAATAGATTTTCCCATTAAAATCAAATATAATGTAAATCTAAAACTGTTTTAAAACGCATACCTATCTGTAACTCGTAACACTGTAACACTTAATTGATGATTTTCTTCAAATTAGACCTGCATCTTTCATTTGTAGCCTTTTGAGATGTTATTCAATGGTTAAAAATTTGTGATCTTCAAAAATAAATGTAATTGTTAATGAAAAAACAGATACTCTGAATCACAGTTAAATACTAGCACACTTTCTTGACTAGAATTTTTTTTTAGAAATTCATGCAAAGATTTGTAAGGGTGAATGTTCCAAAAATTGCTGACAAATTTAACATCACTTGCATTTCTCAAGCATACAAACCTTTTTAATATGAGTATTGCTGGGCTCATTTTTTCCATCTAACTGCCCCCCCTCCCACCATCATTCCTAATGTAAGAATAATTTTTGAAAGAGGATTTTTAGGTGAACTTCAAAGAATTTTTGTGCTTGATTCCACCTTATGTCCCAAGAACCAGTTACCAGTCACATTTGAAATGGGAAATGTGAGACTGTACCTGCCTCCATTACAGATTTTTCATTAAGAAATCTTAGAATGTTCCTCAAAAAAGTTTGTTATACTGGAATTGTCAGTTTGTTGTAATGAGATTTTTATAACATGTACCCTATAGGATTTCTGCCAGGACTTGAAAAAAAGTTTGTTATACTGAAAAATTTGTTGTAACGGTATTTGTTGTAACAAGATTTTACTGTATAAAATTGAAATTTTGAGAGAAAAGGTGTGAGTGGTACTCAAGTAAATACATTATTATACATTATTGAGGACCAATGAAGCCACTATGGGGGAATGTATTCAAAAAATTAGAAAGCTGGTCTTCAAAAAAGAGCAATTAGAATAAATTCTTGAAATAATATAATTTGGCAAGTGAAAAATTGTCTCAAGTGTTTTCATGAGTAAAGCCAATTTTAATTTTTCATTGGATAATTTTAACAATCATGTTACTGTATTTCTGTAGTTTCAGATGAAGATAACAGACTTTAATATGCTACCTTTGAAGAATTCAGTATGCTTAAGACCATTTCTTTTTGACCAGCAGAAAACGTATGCACACTGGTGCCAATCTGTGGACTCTCTGGGTTAGGCAACACTGTTTTTTGTTTTTACTGCTTACTTCATCTCTATAGCAACTCAATATTATCAATTCATCTGGTTCTTTGCTAAATAAAATGCCTTCCTGTCATCTCTTTGGTTCTGAAGTCTTCTCTTCCAATTGACTCACAAAGTGAACAAAAGGGGAAAGAGCCAATTTTTGCTTCCTTATGGCCAGGGTATTTTCAAAGGAACAGACTCATTTTGCAAAAAATAAAGGTAGTGACAAGTCATAAAGGACGTTCGTGACAAAGTTTGTTCAAGAATTGTTTTTTACTTATTATTTTACACAGTTGATTGTTAAACCTACGTACGTCTGTCAAGTACGGGTGTATGACTGTTATTTTCACGTGGGTCTTTGGCAAAAGGTAAACAACCAATAAGTAGTGCAATTCAAGGCATTACATCATGAATATTATAACCATGCAGTTGCTAAGCAAAAGCAATACACTTTAATGCAAAATCTTTGACTTGTTTTAAGACACTTGTAAGTCTATGATGACAAGCCAACTGTTTACTCTATTGATGGGAGGTATTTTTTGATTGTCAAATGCTGGTCATCATCTGAATACCAAAAATATGCAAGTTTGTTGTGCATTATAGAGGCCTGTATTTGTTATAGTAGCCAGCTTTACTATTTTTGAATTCTTCAAGTGTTTTATGAGTTCAGTGTTAGTTGGACAATATGTGTTTCATGGCAATATTTAAGGATATAAATCTTGTCTGGGACATATTTTCATGCTTTCCTTGATGAAGTCAAGGCTTCCTTTAAAATTCTTGTATTTCCTGCAAGCACTGTTTCAAACAAGTTCTTAACAAAAAATGAATAATAAAATGTGTCAACTAACAATTTGGATGCATGCAGACAGTTCATGCCCACATACTGACAATAAAAGTGCACCCAGAGTGGCAAAAAGTAGACAACCAATAAATAGTGCAATTCAAGGCATTACATCATGCATATTATAACCATGCAGTTGCTAAGCAAAAGCAATACACTTTAATGCAAAACCTTTTGACTTGTTTCAAGGCACTTGTAAGTCTATGATGACAAGCCAACTGTTTACTCTTTTGATGGGAGGTATTTTTTGATTGTCAAATGCTGGTCATCATCTGAATACCAAAAATATGCAAGTTTGTTGTGCATTATAGAGACCTGTATTTATCATAGTAGCCAGCTTTACTGTTTTTGAAATCATGAAGTGTTTTATGAGTTCAGTGTTAGTTGGACAATATGTGTTTCATGGCAATATTTAAGGATATAAATCTTGTCTGGGACATATTTTCATGCTTTCCTTGATGAAGTCAAGGCTTCCTTTAAAATTCTAAACCGTGGAAGTGAAGAGGAACTATTGTCTCATTCCATCAGAAATACTTTTCAGTGACGTTGCTTTATAAAATATCTGAACACATGCGAGATATGAGATGGACTTTTGTTGCGTAAGAAATTTCGAAGTTAAGGACTTTTCATCCATGTTTGACGCTTTTTTCTTCATAATATCATCAGCCGAGTCGATGAGTGTATGAAATCATTCCTGGATCGTTCGGTTACGGATGAGGATGAGCTGTTTTTGTTGCTAAGTTAGGCTGATTGAAAAAAAAACATGTTATATTTGATTTTCAGACAACAACCGGAACGAGAATGAGGCGATTCCTTCCACGAAGCCCAGTGTTTTGCTGCCGTTGCTGGGCCCGCAAAACACTTCTTTGGTCGTCGACAAATCTTGTCATCTGCCGTCTCCAGTTGCTCTGGAGTCTGGTGACGATGGCACAGACAATGTCGAAGCTGTAGCAGTGACTCCACGTGAAACTTCCGTTTTCATGACGGATTCTACTGCCCAGGTTAGTTGGGAGACTCGAGTGGACAAGAAGCATAGGAAGGTTGTCCCAGTTGGACGCGACCTGAGATACATTTAACCCTCTGTTACATTAGTGCCACTCTGGTATATTGCCACAGATTTTCCTGGGACAAATTCATTCAATGTGTTCTTATGGAGGAACCCCGGTTTGGTGTCAATAACTCAATTTTGAATTGAATTAAATAGCAAGCCTGATTTTCTGCTTTTCGGCATTCACAAGGTTCAAACTATGTTCCCACATCCAAACCCCCTCCCCCTCCCCATTGACATTCATCCAAAAAACATTTCATCACATCTGAATGCAAAACAGAGAAATAAGCTGTACCGTACAGGCGTACAGTATATGGGTCTTAAAAGAAAATAAAATACATCCCAAAATGTACAATTGCACAACTGATGTAAGTAAATACATTCACATTCTTCCCTTCCCTGATAACAAAAACAAAATGTCAGTAATAAGAATTAAGGAATTAGGCCATAACTTAACCCTGATTGAAGCAAAAGGTGCTCAGCATGCTCCCAGATAATTTTTAGTTGATTGAACAATTTTGAGAAAATCTTTGATGAGAAATCATAAAACGTTAAGAGTTTATCTTTGTTCTCTAAGATTTCGGAATGAATACCACTCTTAGTGACTTAAAAAATGTCCTGTCATGAATGAAAAATAGGCCAAAATCAGAGAAATTTAGTCATATTTTGCAGGTTGGTATTATTGTATTGCTGAGAATTGTATGCCAATGCTTGGGAGATTTTTCAAATTTTATACCTGAATTTAAATGACATTTAAATGGGGGAAATTATTTGAGTGTCTATATCTCCTCTGCAACAAAATTGAGCATCTAAGTAATGGGTATAGCCTTTTTGAAAGAACTAAAAATTACTCCACCTAATGTTTGCTTACTTTCATTGAAAGATTGACACAAAACTGCAAGAAAAAGTTCCACTATTTCACTCAACCCAAAATATGTGCAAAAATACCGGTATATTCTGTACTGTTGCATGCATTGAAATTCAGTTTAAATAGTTCATTTGACACACATTATTTCCTGCTGAAGCTTTCTATTTTACAAAACAGATGCAATGACCCAACAACTCTGCAAACAAGCATATTTCACTCTTAGTAGAAGTCCTAAACTAAATTGCCCTCTAATATAAAATACCCCTGTAGTAAAATCCTTGCTTAGTGCCACAAAGTGTGCCAGGATAAATGATGCCATTAAAGTGGAGTTTGGCTGCATTTTTAGTGGAGGTGTGATTGTGAGTAAAAAGTATGACATTGCCTATGATGCTGTAAAGCGCTGAGACTTTTTTCTAATTTTAAGAAAGTTTTTCAATTAACTCTGGGATGATGAGTGAAAACTTTCCATTTTCAGTAGAGTTCTCCACCCATGTGCTCCACAGGGAGCTAAATAGTTGGCAGGCTAGCTGAAAATTTTTTTTTTTTTTTACCAATTATTGTGTTTGCACTTCATATAATGGTTGAAACTGCAAAAATACACTATTTCAGCTAGCCTGGAAAGTTTTTCAACAACCAGTGACATGGGTGGGAAATTCTGGCTTCAACTGGAAAGTCTTCCCATCATCATCACAGGGTAAATTGGAAAACTTTTCGAATAATCTGGAAAGCATCCCAGATCCTTGGAAAAACTGTGGGCCTGTGTCATTTTTTTCAAATTCTTTTTTACAATCCCGCCCAACTGCTTCAATCCTGGTATGTTTCATATCCCAGACGCTTATGTCTCTTTCGTGTTCCTGGAGATATCGTAATCCGATAAGGAAGTTTTGCTTCCATTTCTACGGATCCGGTTTTCTGATCGGGTCCATTTATTATAAGAGCTGGGTATTTTCACTGGATGATGATGATTTACGTTTGCATGCCCGAAGGTTACCGAGGAAGACATCGCCATGTGCATGGGACTGCTGACGGAAAATGCTTTGCCTGAATTGGATGGAGAAAGTGGAACTGGTTCTGATCATCCCCTACGGATCTTGAGTCAGGAAAACATCACGATCGTATCTACTTTGGCTTCAGGTGAGATGAACCCCGTGATGGGGTATTTTACTGTCCCATGAAAAAATTAATTATGAACACAAACGGGCGTACGTTTACAGTACTTCGTGTTTGTGGTGTTTTTTTTTTCTGGTCTGATACTTACGTTGGATTCACGGGTTGAACTTGGTGCAACAAACTTCCAGGGACCGTGAAGGGATGATTTCTAAAGAGAAGACATTTACTATGGAATAATTATGAGAAATTAACTTGTTATTGGTGGAAATTGTATAACAATTCCCCAATATATATTGCGAGAATATTCGCTGTCAAGTGAATATCAATATTGATGTTATTCATAACACCAGGAAGAGATAATAGATTAATATATAAAATATATTAATATTCTTCCATCCCTGTCCTTCCCAGTACATGTGGACTGACAGACATGTGTGGACCCCTGACAACGCGTGCATAGAAACCCCAGTGCAAGGCAACCCCCTTAACTGTGCAATACCTGTTGGCGCGTGTCAATCATTAAATGATACCTGCGCACGCGCATGACCTACTCCCCTTTTGAAATGTACCCCAATCCTGCGGTATATAAACCCCTGGCAGGATTAAGACATTTAGGAATTTTAGCTCAGGAGACAGTACAGTTCAGAAGGTTCAGATCCCTGTGTCTTGTGGTCAATATTGTGAATACTGTGTTATATTGAATAAAGACTATTTTTGTCAGGAATAGACTTTTAGTACTTAATCATTTCCAACCCTGATTAGAAGGAGATGCATGTATCTTACTACGTTTCCAGGGATAACAAATTTCAATTCTTACCACTCTTTTTGGACGGATCAGTACATTATTATGAAGCAAGATGACATCTTTTTATTTACTGGAGTGCAGGAGAATACCTAGGAATTTTCTCATTGAAAGCACCAACATTTTGGAGAGTAAAATATGACATTTACAAAATATGCATAATTGCCCCTTTTCCTCTCAATTTTCATAAAAAGGTTGTGTGTGCTACTCAAGTAAATAATATATATGTGGATCTGGATCTCTCTACAATAATGATCTTGACAACAACAATTTTCTCTGTATATAGCAATTTTCATTTGTCCCATAGGATCCTCGCACCATGTTATTCTGGTTGTCTACTATAAGATTTCCCCTCCACAAGCATTTCTTCATGCTCCAATGAATTTTTGGTAAAGTATACTTGTACATTATTTTTTTCAGATGAGAAGCCAGAAAAACTCAATTTTGCCCATCCCTTTCCTCTCAATTTTGAGATGAAAACAACTGTATGTGTGGTACTCCAGTAAATATGGTACCTTTTTAGTTGTACAATGCAGTTGAACTTCAATAACTCAAACTAATGATGTTTTTTGAAAGAAAGTGAAAGACTGATTGAGGAAATGAACCCCTGCTTCCCAGTTTAGCATCCTGTGAACTCATTTAAGTAGCAATTTAATGCCCAGAAAATCCTCAATTACAATCTCTTGCAATTTTTTTCATGTTTCCCACAATGGAAATTTTTGTTTTTCCTAACTGGGAACCTCTTGAAGTCAAATTTGTTAGCTGGTCTCTAGAAATTCAATGTAGAGAGGCTCAACTGTAGTACAAGGGGTTGGTTTGTGAGTTTTGTTAAATTTTGAAATAGATCCAACAGAGTTTCAGTCTGTTTTTACTTGCATAGTATCATAATGTGGCATCACTTCAGAGCTGTTCAAGGCAGTATCCGCCAATTTCCATGCAGTTTTTCATGAAATAAATCCCTTGATGAATAGAGGGCCAACAATTGATACTGTAATTGTTTTACTTGATCAAGCTGCTCTTTGACAGCGGAATGTTGGCTGTCACTGTAGTGAAAATCAATCCCTTTCAGAATGCTTCACTGTTGGGAACAGCCAGAAGTCACAGAATTTTTTTTCATGGAATGTTTTTTCCAAATATACTACAGTAGTAATAGCATCTTTACAGAAAAATAATCATCAAAAAAATGGTTGCACCCTGTGACAAAAATTTTGAATTTTTGAAACTCTGTTGGATCTACAGTTCAAAGTCAATAATTTTCACCTCCATAAGTAGATTTTTCTTTTACTGGCCCCTTGAAATTTGAATCAAAGAGGATTGACAGTACTGTACTGCATTTCAAAACTTTTTGCATCTCATGAACCAACTCTTGTAACCTAGAAAAACTTGCACTTGAATAATGAATGAATGAACGGAAAGCTTCATTTTCTGCTTTTCAGCATTCACAAGGTTCAATCAACATTCCCACCTCCAAACCCCCTCCCAACCCAACCCAACCCAAATCCATTCAAACCCATACAATCACTTCAGAATGGGAAACAGAGAAAAAAGCTATTCAGTATATGGAAACCAAAATAAAAGAAAATACATTCCACAATGTACAATTGCACTTGTGATTCATCCCTGTTTCAAGTTCCTGTCAAACACCTAAAAGAGATATTGTATGGAGAAACATACATGTGTGTTTGTCTGTCTGTCTGTCTGTGTGTGTGTGCGTCTCCTTCAATCCGAAAAGGCAGCCTTTCTTCCACACAGTTTCAAATCATCGTGACGCTTTTGCCCTCCTTTTTCCCCCCCTCAACCAAGATGAGGTTGATGAGCGAGAGCTGCGAGGGAACCGGATATAAAAGCCGGACTTTGCAATAAGTCGGGTGGTGAATTTATTGTCGCGTCTTCCCCCCCGGAATCCATCCCATTTATTTTATGGCCCCGCAGAGATCATTACGCAGCATGAAGCGAGCAGTCGACGCAGGCGAGTGCAATGCTACTGGAATCTCTTTCCTTCACTATACACACACAGAGGGGGTTATTTTGGGGGGGGGGGGGGGGGTGAGTCATTCATGTGTCGAGAGTGGGGGGGTTGGGTTTTGTGGCTATATACTGCCCTACACCAGGGGGGTAGGGTATAAACGGCAGGCGAGCCAGGGGCAGCAGGGGGTTCCTTTGTGATGAGGAAGCTCGGGGTACTTTCCTTGGTGGGTGTTGCCGAGCCAGTGCTGGAAGAAAAAGAGACGGCACTTATATATTGGGAATATGATGACGATGAGGGAAGCAATAGCTGATGGAAATATTGTATTGCTTACATACGCGTGATGTCACGAGTGAGACTGAAACGAAGCCGTGTGTAAGACCTACTTTAGGAAAGAAGGAGGAGAGAGAAAATGTATAAATTATAAGTCAAAACAAAACAAACAAACAAAACAAACAAAGCTGTTCGTGACTGATGCATGGGGACTCGATCCAGTCGATAAATTTGATGCATTGTATTGTATTTAATATCAAAGGCACCCGCGAACGTCAAGAACAAAAGCACTGCAAGGTTCTTAAAAGTTAAACTTCAATATCTTGAAGCTCGCAAAAGAAGTCAAAGTCCTTCCTAAGTTGAATTTAGCTCATGTCCTTTGTGGAATTCACTTGAGAAAAATTCATCAAAAGCCTCCCTAACTTAAATGCTTCACCCATCAAACCTCAATAACTTGAATCAACTGTAGGTGTTTTGGGCAATGGTTTTATTGACACAGAAAAGAGATAAGCAATGGAAATTTAACAATTTGTTATGGGGAAAAAAATGAATGAATGAACAGAATGCTTTCCACTTTTCAGCATTCACAAGGTTTAATTGTCATTCCCACAGTCAAACCCCCTTTCCACTCATAACCCAAATCCCTTCAAAGGCATTCAACCACTTCAAAATGGGAAACAGAGAAAATAGCTGCATATGGTTGCCAAAATAAAAGAAAATTCATTCCACAATATACAATTGCACAACTGATTTGTATGCTTACACCCCTTCTTTCCCTGACATTGAAAACAAAATATCAGTAAGAAGAAGTAAACAAAATGAAACAGGGGAATTACTTAAGTGATGGAAATGGCTGATTTTGCTGATCTGGGAGAGTATATGTAGTGTGCTTTCTATGAGTGAGGAAAAACAGGGTTTCTCCTTTCTATAGGATATATGAACCTTCATGTGACAAATATGTTTTTCAAGTTTTCTGAATTTAATCAGAATCAAGGCATTAAAAACCTCCCTAATTCAAAATTGTTCCCCTTCAAATGACAATAACTTGAATTTTCTTGAGGCTTTTTTGCTATTATTTTATTGACACAGGATAGAGGAAAGCAATCGAGATGTGACTTGATGTGTTTTGAAAGGAAGTGAATGACTAATTGGGCAAATGAGCACTTGCCCCCAAGTTCAGCATGCTGTCAACTCATTTAAGAAGCTATTTAAGGCCCAGAATATCACCAATTACAATTTCTCTGAATTGGACTTTCTTTTCCTGGACAAGAATGCTTGAAACCCATCTAACTTGATTTTGTAATGGTCCCTTGAAGTTTGACTCAAAAAGGTTTTAATGTGTATTTGAAAATACAGTGGAATTGAATCTCTGGATATTCATTTTGATGTTTTCAGTTATGCTGGGTATGATCTCAGCAGTTGTGCCTGTATATTTCCCTGTCCCTGTTTTTCTTCAGGAATGGCTCAACCCCACAAAAGGATAAGCCCTGTATAGTATGCTGATGGGTTCTCTTGTCACCCAGCGTTGTTCAAGTGTACACTCTGTAGGACTTTTTCCTGTTTGTTTTTTTTTTCTCCTTTGTGCTCTTCTGCGAGGTTCATCTTTGGCTTCGAATTCGCTCGAACTGTTCTTTGATATTGGAAAAAGCCGCAAATATTGATAAGCGCGCTTTGTGTTGCTTTGTGTAATCCTGTTCTTTGTCCTTAGCTAGGTTGTTTGTTTCGTTATTCATCCGTAATGGAATGTAGATTATGTAGAAATTCTTGGGAAGAATTGACTGTATTCGGTTCTATTCCCACCCTCAGTAAACCCATGAACCGGTCGATGGTGCTGACTTTCAAGCCTTTGTCGAAAAGATAAACTGGAATAATTATCCACCGAAAAGCTGGATTAGCACATCCAGAAGGGTTGTCCCCGTTGTACGCGACCTCTGATATATTTCAAGTGGTTGTGATTTTAGAAAAAATCACAAAATAAAAAATCACGACATTGCCCATGTTTCAAGTATTTAGAGATTAATAGTTTATTCTGAAATGTCCTTCCTGGGCCTGTGGGTTTGGTTCACAGGCTCCAGCAGAAGCTGCAAAATTTTATTTGTATTAGAAGAGAAGAATTACTTGTCTGGCATCAAATTGTTGGCATGCCAAAGTTTTTTCCAACAGAAACAAAACAAAATTGAATTTTTTGCTGGCCTGACAAAACTTTTGCACCTTTTTACATGAGTGAGGAACTCTGGCTGTAACTTTAAAATGTTCACTCCTCATCATGCAGTAAATTGAAAGACTTTTTTAAAATCTAAATCCTAAAAAATCCCAGAATCTGGGTTATGTCACTTTTTTTTTTTTTTACAAGCACACTCACTTCACAAAAAAATGCCAGAAATCGCGTCCAACTGGGACAACCCTCGTATAGATGTAAATTTAGGATGAATATTTTTTTTTTACAATTTGGGTTTACAATAAAGCAATTCATCATTATAATGAACCGAGTCGGAGAATTTATCGTATCAATCAGAATCGTGGCCTTTTCTTGTCGTAAAATCTGTCGAGGGATCTGATATGGTAATTTCGATGAGGCTAATTAGCGCAAGTATGCAGCTATAGCGAATAAGGAAAAGTGATTGCCATGATGCTTAATTATTCTCTCTTTTTTTTTTTTTTTTCGTCGATGATGATGATGATGATAGATCGTTGGTCGCTATCTTCGGGTGACGACCATGGCCAAGACGACAATGACGATTTGTTGAGCTGGACTGTCCAGGAGCTGTCGAACTCTTGGGGCAAGGAGTACTTTTCTCGTCGCTTCTCGTCGGACCGGGGGATTATTAGTGACGAGCGCCGTGTTCAAAGACCACCCGAAGCCAGTTCTGATGAGAAACCGGATTCCGATTGTCAGCAGGTGGAGTAAATATTGTGCTTGTTATCATTTCGAAATGTGGGGGGGGGGGTGAAACTGCGAGTTCACGTGGTTGCTGACATCATCATGTTCATCATCATCATCATCTTCATCATGATCCAAAGCCACAACATACGGGATGAGGCATCATAAGCTTTTGCTGCAATCCCACCAAGTATTTTTGTGCATCAGTTGAACCTGAGTACAGTACTGCAATTGGAACCCCCATATGTTGAGTACTACAGTCAAACCCTGATATCTGCGGTGGTAAACAGGTCTCGTTAAAACCGTCAAATTTCTCCAACCGCCATATAGCTTATAAATTAAAATTAATAAAGTAGTTTTTATGAACTAAAAGGAGGTTTTCAGTATCTCTATGTCCAATCGTAAGAAACTTCAGTAATTTTCCAAAGAGTATTGGTGTGATCAATGGATTACTCTTTCAGAAAATAAATGTTGCTGCATCAATTTATTCAAATTTTAAGATTAGGTCAATATAATTTTCAACAAAATGATCATTATTATTATTTTTCGCACAAATACAAGATCCTTGGCAGAAATTATAATTCTACCCCAATGTTGGCGTTGTAATGAAGACAAAACTAATTGGAAACAGCACTTTTGTTTCATCACTAATGCTGGCGGATTTTGTTTTCTATAGAATTTAACACAGAGGAGATTTGTATCATTCAAAATGTTGGCAGTTGGCAAGGATGATGATTTATTGGGGGGCGTTTTAAGGGGGTTTGACTGTATATCTTCATGGGGACCCTTGGTTAACAATCTGCTCAGTTAACAAACTTTAGGTTTCCAGGAGAAAGTCCTTGGTTATCAAACCAAAATTGGGTTAATAAACTTTGTTTTTCTGGGGAAAAATCCCAAATTTGAGAATTTGGAATACTGTATGATTATGAGGCTGAAATTTATGGTACAATCCAAGTGCTAATAATGTACCTATGATGCACTGATATGAAAATTCATTGCTCCTAGCACTTGATTAATTTGTTTCAGATGCATTATTCAAGTATATTTTTCTGTGAAAGAATTGTTTGCTTATCTGTGCTTGGTTTTTTGTCATTCAATTGTTAAAGGGGTTTATATGATCTTTAATTGTAGCATTTAAAAAAGTGTTAATTGTCACATGACATGTATCCTACAGTTTGTGTTTTCTTTTGATGTGATGCTTTTTGATCCTTTTATCAAATGTAATCTGTTCAGTGCTACTTCCATGTAACACTGTAAAAATATTTTTGGCACATACAAGATGCAGCAAGAACTTAATCTGATGATAGCTTATGCTGGTCTTGAGGTTTTAATATTGAATGTTCAATTGTCTTTTGGCTTCCAGAATGGATTAAATTTTTGTTCATTTGATTCTACAAGAAAAATAAAATCTGGTCAACAAACTTTTTGGTTGACAAACCTTTGTTGGGAACCAATCAAATTCCTTTACTGAGGGTCCACAGTAGTTCCTTGCATATTTTGTTCAAGTCCCTGTCTGAATTCCCTTGGAAACAATAAATAAAAAATCACCCTATCAGGAAGGCTGTTCAAGCCTCCATAACTCAAATTTTCTGGATTCCTTTTCAAATAGTATTTCATCATCACAGGACAGAGAAAATCAATAAAAATGTAAGATGATGTGGTTTGATAGGAACTGAAAGAATAATTGGGCAAATTGACTCTCGCCTCCAATTTCAGCATTCTGTCAACATTTAAAAATTTAATTCAAGGCCCAAAATATTACCAATCACAATGTTCTAGATTCTTTTTTGCTTTCCTCCAACAAATACTTGCTTCCCTGACTTTTATGGTCCCTCAAAGTTTGAGTCAAAGAGGTTCAACTTTAATCTGTTATATTTTTATACCTTCTTCCATCACATTTTTATGTGATAGAAACATGTGTGCTTGTTTTTTTGTTCCTTTTGCCTTCATTTTTATGCCAAAAGGGCGAACCATGAGTGTTGTTTCTTCTGCGCAGTGCTTTTGTGTGTTTTAAATTTAGGAGCAAAAAATGTATTGAATTACTGGAGGCATTCCTCCAGTAAAAATGAGAAGCGTAAGGGTTTTAATTTCTGTGTACCTTATTATTTTAATCAGGTTACGTCGAGGTTCTGTCCTGTATTCGGCGACCTGCGAAAGCCAGACGGGGCTTCCAACCCGAACCTCTCTCATGTACCCACGGAAATGATGCACCATCATCCTCATCATCATCATCAGCAGCTGCAGCAGGACAATAATAGTGACGCACTCACTCGCATCTACGAAGAATTGTCCCCGAGTTCTTCTCCACATGAGGAAGACACGTCAGACACTTGCTTACAACCCGCATCATCCTCTGCGGAAGACGAAGAAGGTGATCCAGTTCAAGTGGATCAACCGGATGATGACCGGGAATCCGAACTGGTGCCCAGCAACGTAGACGCCACCATTTGTCCAGAGCAATTTTGGCAGTTTAAAGAGGTTGGCGGTATATCGAATATTTAATTTTAATTATTTCATCAAAAATACTTGATTTTCCTCCAAAAGTCATAGAGATACAGGTTATGTAAGAAACTTATGTAAGTAATTTTCCAAAGAGTATTGCTGTGATCAATGGATTACTCTTTCAGAAAATAAATTTTGCTGCATCAATTTATTCCAATTTTAAGATTAGGTCAATATAATTTTCAACAAAATGATCATTATTATAATTTTTGGACAAATACAAGATCCTTGGCAGAAAATATAATTCTACCCCAATGTTGGCGTTGTAATGAAGACAAAACTAATTGGAAACAGCACTTTTGTTTCATCACTAATGCTGGTGGATGGCAGTTGGCGTCTTATTGAGGTTTTCTATAGAATTTAACATAGAGGAGATTTGTATCATTCAAAATGTTGGCAGTTGGCAAGGATGATGATTTATTGGGGGGCGTTTTAAGGGGATTTGACTGTATATCTTTATGGGGACCCTTGGTTAACAATCTGCTCAGTTAACAAACTAAAGGTTTCCAGGAGAAAGTCCTTGGTTATCGAACAAAAATTGGGTTAATAAACTTTGTTTTTCTGGGGGAAAATCCCAAATTTGAGAATTTGGAATACTGTATGATTATGAGGCTGAAATTTATGGTACAATCCAAGTGCTAATAATTTACCTATGATGCACTGATATGAAAATTCATTTCTCTTAGCACTTGATTAATTTGTTTCAGATACATTATTCAAGTATACTTTTCTGTGAAAGAATTGTTTGCTCAACTGTGCTTGGGTTTTTTGTCATTCACTTGTTAGAGGGGTTTATTTGATCTTTACTTGCAGCATTTAAAAAAATTTTAATTGTCACCTGACATGTATCCTACAGTGTGAGTGTGTGTGTGTTCTTTGGATGTGATGCTTTTTGATCCTTTTTTCAAATGTAATCTGTTCAGTGCTACTTCCATGTAACACTGTAAAAATATTCTTGGCACATACAATTAAGATGCAGCAAGAACATAATCTGATAATAGCTGATGCTGGTCTTGAGGTTTTAATATTTAATGTTCAATTGTCTTTTGGCTTCCAGCATGGATTAAATTTTTGTTCATTTTATTCTACAAGAAAAATAAAATCTGGTCAACAAACTTTTTGGTTGACAAACCTTTGTTGGGAACCAATCAAATTCCTTTACTGAGGGTCTACAGTAGTTCCTTGCATATTTTGTTCAAGTCCCAGACTGAATTCCCTTGGAAACAATAAATAAAAAATCACCCTATCAGGAAGGCTTTCCTCTTCAAACCTTCATAACTCAAATTTTCTGGATTCCTTGTCAACTATTATTTCATCATCACAGGACAGAGAAAACCAATAAAAATTTAAGATGATGTGGTTTGATAGGAACTGAAAGAATAATTGGGCAAATTGACTCTCGCCTCCAATTTCAGCATTCTGTCAACATTTAAAAATTCAATTCAAGGCCCAAAATATTACCAATCACAATGTTCTAAATTCTTTTTTGCTTTCCTCCAACAGAAATAGTTGCTTCCTTGACTTTTATGGTCCCTCAAAGTTTGACACACAGATGTTCAACTTTAATCTGTTTGTCTTTTTATACTTTTTTCCATCACCTTGGAGGCAAGGGTTCATTTGCCCAATGATTCTTTCAGTTCCTTTCAAAACAGGTCATCTTAAATTTTTATTGCTTTTTATTTATTGTTTCTGAGTGAATTTCGACAGGGAATTTAAATCTGGAAAATATGTCAATGCTGCGCTATTTTTTTCTTCTACTAAAGAATATTTTTCTGAACAATAATTGTTTTTCGGCTCAATGATGTGCCATTTTATTTTATATATCCCCAGAACTTTTGTTATCCCCCTCGTAAACGTAGATCTGACACGTCTCAACCGTTTCTCGCCAGAATGCCCCACATTCCACAAAAAATACAAGGGTTGGTTCGAAAGTTTTGAGACTTTTTTAAACGGATCCAAAGGAGTTTTAACAATTCAAAGGAAAAATTATTTATTCGCATAGCCCCATCATTTGGCAACACTTCAGTGCTGCTCAAAATACTCTCCGCTGATGTTAATGCATTTCTCATGCAATAAAATTCAAGAATCAAAACAGTGCAAAAAATCGAGTCCTCTTGGTTAATTAAATATCCTGTGACTTCTGGCTGTTCCGGAAAATGAAGAATGATGTGAAAGGGATCGAATTTTGAGGACAAGAACAGCCTGATTTCCGCTTTCAAAGAGCAGCTTAACTTGATCAACTAACGGAACTCGATTTTTTGGCACTGTTTTGATTGTTGGCTTTATTGCATGAAAAAATGCATTGAATTCAGCGGAGATGTGCTGAACAGTGCTGACGTGTTGCCAAATTTTGGGGCTATATGTGAGTAAAAATAAATTCTTGGAATTGGTGAAACTTGGTTGGATCCATTTCAAAAACTTTCTTAAGTTTATGTATGCCTTTCGAGGAAATACCTTTTTTTCTGCTCCCCTGCAGTATTGTACTCTTTTCTGGTTGAAACTAAAGAATGAGAAGCGGAAGGGTTTCAATATTTCTGTGTACCTTATTATTTTAATCAGGTTACGTCGAGGTTCTGTCCTGTATTCGGCGACCTGCGAAAGCCAGACGGGGCTTCCAACCCGAACCTTTCTCATGTACCCACGGAAATGATACACCATCATCCTCATCATCATCATCAGCAGCTGCAGCAGGACAATAATAGTGACGCACTCACTCGCATCTACGAAGAATTGTCCCCGAGTTCTTCTCCACATGAGGAAGACACGTCAGACACTTGCTTACAACCCGCATCATCCTCTGCGGAAGACGAAGAAGGTGATCCAGTTCAAGTGGATCAACCGGATGATGACCGGGAATCCGAACTGGTGCCCAGCAACGCAGTGCTGGGTAATAATTTGGGTCTCAGGGGTTCCGGGAAGTTGCTGGGCAGAGTGAGCAAACTCTTGGCTCGCTCTGAGCACAGACTTCCCTCACTTGCCAGCACTACTGAAGTCTCTTCGTCTGCGAGGTTTGTGACATGACCGCGGACATCTCGTTCACGATGAAATGCATGTGGTTACAACGAATTTTGTTTCATTCTCGCACACACAACAACAAAAAATAGATCACCGTTCAGTGCCGGAAAGAATTCACCGTCGTTGCACGGAGAAAGTTCTGGCTACGAGAGCTTTTTGCGGGATAGCGAATGTTCGGGCAGCTCCTTTAGCCGAGGCTCAGACCCGGAGGAAGTCACTTCGTCGCCCGTGAGGTTGAGGTATGATCAACAGCAGCAGCAGCAGCGACACCTGCCCGAGACTAACAACAACAACAACCATTGCAACGCGAGAGCCAACAGCACCAAGCTTCCCAAGACGCACGTTGGTTGCTTCAGGAGTTCCAGAAAGTTTGAAGGGTCCAAGTGCAAAGCTCAGAAGGGATGCAACACTTCGGGAATGTCTGAAGAAATTCGAGAACGTGGTGGGAATACTGTATATACTTGTCCGTTTCCCCCACGTATATTTAGGGTTTTGAAACTGGTTTTGGAACTTTTGATGCATTGCAATTGCATTGCAACGAATATCGTTATAACGAGTTTTTCGGTTTTTAAAAATTTGTTTTTCTGGGTTCCAGCAGTTTCTCCAGACGAGGGACAATGTTATAAAACTTTTGTTTTAACAAGCTACTTTTTCTGTAGGATTTCATAAAAAATGAAACAAATATATTTGCCTCAATTATGTGTGCATTTTCACTACAGTAGTTTATAGTCGCAATATGGGACAACTTAACATGGGAAAAAGTGAAAAAACTTCAAAAGTGCTGATATTTTTGTGCAGAAAATTCAGCATTGCAGGAAGTGCTAAGCTCTGGTAAAATAGCTTTATTCTAGAATTCAGAAATGGAAAACTTTTTTAAAAATTTGTTTAAAATGACACTGTTCTGTTTCAAGGACCCTAAAGTTATAGAGGTAAATAAATGATCTTCATGCATGTCTATTATCTGTTAGTTGCATCTTATACTTCAGTGAGATTGGTAGGTTTTAGGAAATTTTTTGAAAGGCAGGTACAGAATGAGATAATTGTATTTAACATGTTGAGTTTTCTTTGCATTTTATCTGGCTTCCCCCTCAGGACATTCTCTCATCAAATATCCATAAAGCAACAGCTATTCAGGGTAGTCCTTGCCCAAGTGGGGAAATTGGTGCACACTGCAGATTTGTTTGTAATTCTACACAGTGACCCTGCTGTGCACCTGAAGTGTACCAAAGTTCTTCTGTTGCACATGCATATCCCCAATGTGCGCCAAATGTGTGTTCACACCAGGATTACTCAGAGTCACATTTGTAAACAAATAAGTTAC